AAAGGGTGGACCAAATTCATGTACGTTCAAAATTCCACTCCCGAAATTATAAAATGTATATTTATACGTACTTGATAATAATATATGTATTATATACATCAGTGACGTATATAGGTTTTCATTTTAGAGGGGGCCGATTATGTATTTGATTTTTGAGTGAAAGGGAAGGAGGAAGCACACTATTACGAAACAAATTACTTTAACACTATAAGACTTCTCGACTGTCTTTACACCATCAGAGAAATAAGAAACTCAATTGTTTTAATGATTTATTATTTTTTAAAAGTATAAAAACTACATTGTAATAAACAAATTTTTTATTAAAGTCACTGAAAATTCACCACATATTTTCTTAAAAGAATAAACATATTTTATAAATTTTAAATTTTAAATTATCGCATAAGCAACATTCTCAGTGTCGCGACAAATTTTCGGAAACCCCCAGTATTAAGACATAAACATGTTAAAAATAACAATCTTTAACAATGGTGTTTTTCATTTCGGAGGGGGCCCGGACCCCCTCGGCCTCCCCATAAATACGCCCCTGATATACATAACATTTATATGTTTCGAAAGCACAAACTTGCAAATGGTGATGCTTATTGTCGTCGGCTCTGCTATCGGAGATAATGCTGAACTTTCATGTTTATCTTATTACGAACTAGCATCCGTTGGAAACAATGATGATGATAGAATTATACATGAACGCGTGCGATAAAGAATTTCTTGAAATTAAATTAATGTTTACAGGGTACCTAATATCGGTATTTTTTTCTTAGTTTTTGTACAAATTAAGATATAGTGAAGGGGCATAGTATGGATACGTAATCATCGGTAATGAATTAAAAAAATAAATACCCAACTGTATCATATCATTGTACAGTAAAAGCAAAGGCTATCGAAAGATTGAGACCGTTATACCTTTTTGGCCGAACGATTGAAAACACTTAAAATTATCAAAAAATTTACCACTGACTAAAAAAAAACCAAAAAAACGATACGATTGAGAACGAATTTATGTGCAACGTTGCAATAGTTTGCTATATAATTTATTTGGCTTTTGAAAAATTTAGTATACATACAATAAATATTCTTAAAAAAAGTCATAAATTAATAATTATAATCGTATACAAATTAGTGCCTAATATATGTAATATATAATATGAATAAAAAATTAAAAATATGTAGGACTTATAAAAATATCTAATACTAATATAGTGTATATATGTATAAAAAAATTGTAAAATATGTAGAATTTATAAAATTTATTACTTTCTAATAATATTAGGTCTTCACCTCGTTCGCTTCTTATAATTTTAATTTCATTCTTTACCATTTTAATAAATATGCTATGTAGTATATTATATTGACGAATAGTTTGTGCGACGTCTCCAAAGCTTAACCTTCATTCTCTCGTATCTGGTATCTAAGTTCCTATTAACAATCAGATAATCTGATAAAAGTCCGATAAATATCAACAGATTATTGTGCTCATATTATCGATCGATTACATTTGGCAACGTTGGAAAAAAAAACTCGAGCATTCTCAATCATGTTACCAAAAATTACGTTCTCAATCGTACCGTTCTCAATCGTATTTTACTGAAAGCAAATGGTGGTATATGGTAATCCACGAGAATTCAATAAAAAACATATAAGATTCTAAGTGAAATAAGGAATGTATTGGTTTCTTTTTTCCTTTTTTGTGTATATAATCAGAAGTATTGTATAGATCAGTGGTTCTCAACCGCCGGTCCGCGGACCGGCACCGGTCCGCGATAAAAGAGATGCCGGTCCGTATTGTGTTGTTATCTGATTTATTTTTAGTGTAGCGTTAGGAATTTTATTAGTGTATTATATTACCCGTATACTATCGCAACAATTAGTTTCATATCTACATTATTGATTCAGCTTTCAATTGCAACTGTGACGTTGCGGCTGTACGACGTTATTTTGTTTAATAAAAATGAATTTTAAACAAACAAACTTATTAAATTTTTACAAAAAAAATAATAATGATATTGCCACCAATTCAGTTTCGGAATCCGTTGATAATATCATTGCATCACCATCTAAGAAGAAGAAAAGAGGTACATTTGTTCGTAATTATAATGATGATTATATTAAGTATGGATTTATTTGTTTTTCTTCTGATTCTAACGACATACCGAAACCGCAATGCGTATTGTGTTCTGTGATTTTATCTAATGAAGCAATGAAACCTGCTAAACTTATTCGTCACTTGGAATCAAAGCATAAAGAATTTAATAACAAACCTATAGATTTTTTTATTCGAAAAGGTAAAGAGTTAACGGCTCAAAAAAAAGTTATGTCTGCAACTTCTAAGGTTGATTACTCATTAGTTAAAGCATCTTATCTGGTAGCATTTCATATAGCTAAATGCAAAAAATCGTATAATATCGGGGAAACTTTAATTAAACCTTGTTTACTTGATGTTACTAGTGAACTTTTAGGGCCTTCCGCTGCTAAAAAAATGAATGATTTACCTTTGTTTAATGACACGATTTCTAGAAGAATAATTGATATTTCTGTAGATATCGAAGAACAAGTTATAGATAAAATTAAATTATCGAAATGGTTTTCAATACAACTTGACGAATCAACTGATGTATCTCAAAAAGCAATTTTGCTATGTTACGTACGTTTTATTGATTTTCAAACATCAGAAATGTGTGAAGATTTATTGTGTTGTTGTGAATTACCTTCACATACTACAGGGAGTGAAGTATTTAAACGATTAAATGAGTATCTAAAAAAAAAACCAACTAAACTGGGAAAATTGTGTGTCTGTGTGCACGGATGATGCCGCAAGTATGACCGGAAAATATTCTGGTGTAGTTTCCAGAATTAAAAATGTAGCAAACATACATTTTGTTCATATACATTGTATTATACATAAACAACATTTAGTTGCGAAAAAAATGTCACCTGTTTTGAATGAAGTATTGACTGAGGCAGTAAAAATAATTAATTTTATTAAATGTAATGCCTTAAATTCTAGATTATTTTTAATTTTATGTGAGGAAATGGGATCTGAAAATTCTCATTTATTGATGCACGCAGAGGTTCGGTGATTATTCCGTGGTAGAGTCCTGAATAGATTTGTTGAATTAAGAAAAGAAATTGAATTATTTTTAATTCAAAAGAAAAGTAATTACATTTCAATTATTCAAAATACTGAATGGATCGCAAAATGTATTTATTTATCTGATATTTTTAACTTAATAAATACCTTTAATTTAAGTTTACAAGGTCCACTCACAACAATTTTCACCATGTTAAATAAAGTTTATGCATTTAAAAAAAAAATACAGTTGTGGATAACGCTTATTCAAGAAAGAAACTATGAGATGTTTGAATCTTTTTCATCATTTATAGAAACTAATGAGTTAAAGATCGATAGTAATATCAAAATTACTATCGAAAATCATTTGCAATCATTGTATGATACGTTTGAAGATTATTATCCAGTGAATCAAGATCCACGAGACGGATATTTGTGGGTACAAAATCCATTTTTAACAAACTCTCAACATAAATTGTGTTTAAAAGAACAAGAACTTTTGTTAGAGATATCATCAGATATTGGTCTACAATCTAAATTTAATACAATGTCTGTAACCAAATTTTGGATTGAACTCAAGGACGAGTATTACGTGCTTTTCGAAAAAGCAATGAAAATTCTTCTTCCATTTTCTTCGACATATCTATGTGAAGCTGGATTTTCTGGAATGACCCATATAAAAACCAAAACTAGAAATAGGCTCGATGCCACACATAGTTTACGTGTATCTTTGACAACTACAGTGGAACCAAGATTTGATAAAATTGTTAAAACAAAACAAGCACAACGCTCTCATTAAAATGTAATATTTTATTTATAAATATATTGTTAAAAATTAACTAGAAAGTACTCATTAAAATGTAATTTTTGATTTATAAAAATATTATTAAGAATTAATTAAAAGTATAATACTTAAATCTTGCAATCAAAACTAGAAAAATTAGTTATAGTATAGTAATAAAATGTAACATAAATTAATAAATTAACACATGTTGTGATTAATTTTGTGTATTCTTGTTGATGAACAAAAAAAAAAAAAGTCTTCCTAGTTCCTAGTTTTTGTAAAATTGAGGTGGTTCGTGACCTAAAAAATATTATCGAAGTGGTCCGGGGTGGTAAAAAGGTTGAGAAACACTGGTATAGATTATCAATCATGGAAAGTTTTTGATAGAACATGTTATCTATTTAGTACTCTAAGGAAATAATTAACGAAATAATTAATAGTTTTTTAAAAATTTGCAAAAAAAACTGACTTAAAGTAAAAAAATAAAATTGGAAAAATGTACCACTTTGATCAACCCGATCTACTTAATTCAGAATCGTTTATTCGAGAGCAATATTATGTTGGTTTTAAGTTTAGGATACAGACATACCATTTACCTATTTCTGTACCTCTTTCATCCATGAAGTATCATCTGACATAGGAATTTCACCTTTTTTAATAATAAAAATAAAATAAAATTGGAAAAAATCTTTTATTTATAACACATTAAAGATAATAATAAAGTAAAGTATACAATTTTAATTTAAAATTTTGAAAATAGGGGAAGTGTATTTTTCTTAAGCTCTTACTATATTGCTAACTTGTATTTAATTTTAAACTTTGAACACAACAAAAATTATAGTAACTATTATTTTTATGATTATTGAGCCGAGCTGGTTAATAATCATAGTATAATAGAGTAAACGTCGCTTAGAAGACTCATGGATAGAAAGTTCAGCCATGTATTTGACTCAAAATCGCTTGGAATGGTCCGGATGTATCTAAATACATTAAAAAAAAAAATCGGTTATAGGAATTAAATTTCGTAAGAAAAATCGTAGAAAATAAATTTCTATGTTGGTAATTATTTATTAACATTGCAGTTGAACCACCACCAAACAAACACAGTCTTGAAGTTCTAAAACTGTTTAGGTTAAGAAGATGACACACCGAAAGTAAAATGTATACAACGACCGATAGAACGCGTTCTTAGGTGTTTTCAAGAAACGCAAGCACGCGAGCGCATACGTCTACACGCCTATCATTCGTAGCCGGCGACCGCGCGCTGTTAATAATGTTTATTATGTGATGGACTTTCAAGTGTCAGTGCCTAGTACATCAGATGGTATTGTATTTATATATTAAAAATGTGATATTATTTTTTTAACAAAACCATATATTTTAGAACAAATCATTACAAAATGCAAGTCTCCAAGTGAAACAATAAATAATGTTAATAATGTGATGGACTTTCAAGTGTTAGTGCCCAGTACATCAGATAGTATTGTATTTATATATTTACCAAAATGGTCTGTGTTTCATGTTCATCAATTGATGTTTATTGTCCTAATGTGTTGCATGTTTCATGTTTCATGTTTGTATGATTGTATATTTAAATTAATTGTCTATCTGTGAAATTAAGTTATAATCGGATTTTTGTTTGTACTTTTTTCCACTTCGCCTACAACATCCATTCGGTTATAAAACTCATTTTATGCTGGTTCTAAAGTGAGTCTTATAAGCGGAATCTACTGTATATATATATATATATATATATATATATATATATATATGTTTTTAAATTATTTTCACAGTATTCATCAGTGATCGATTACGGAAAAGCGGAAAAGAAATATAAAGTTGACCATAAAATAATTCTCACAAGGTAAATCGATATTTAAAATTTCTTTATATATAATTTATTACTGTTTTGTATAGAAGGTAAGATGTTAAATAATATAAGAGAAACCGCTGAATAACTTTTGTAGAGTGTGGTTGTGATTATGATTATTGATGTTGTATTATACATTGCTGTAGTTTCCGTGGTTATATTTTGATGCGACTTTTACACGGATTTAAATAGGGTTTTTTATTTTTAATTTGCCTTTAAAAAAGCAAATAATATTAATTAAATTTTTTTATTTATTTAAACGTATATCACAATGTAAATTCAAAAAATGTATTTACTTTGTTTAAGTCGAGTTTAAAATGTACCAATGATGTACTAAGGTCAAAATTAGTAGTTGAATAGCAGCAGTGGCGGCTATATCAAATTTTTTAGGTGTTGCTTAGTATTGAAAAACAATGACCCCCCAACTAATAATGGGACTTTCTCAGTCATCAATTGCCATAAACTTTCAATATTTGTAAGCCAGTGTTCCTTAAGTATGCAAGAAGACCTGTTTAATTATTAATTATTATATAATTTGATAATACCTTACATCTAAAAAAATATTTCCCATCAAAGACCAATATAAAACAAATAAAAACATATTATTTTTATTTTTTGTTTGTAGCAAAACTTAATAAAATATTAAAATACATTTGATTTTGATATTATCTTGTTTATCAATTAATATTAAAGTAATAGTAAAATATAAATTGGCAAATTAAATACTTTTAATTTCATATTATAAATATTTAGCTAATACAGTACTTTGCTGTGTAAAATTGTTCAAAATATCTTCATGCTCCACTTCAATATCTCGTTCACAGCTAATCATGATAAGATCTTCCAGTTTTATCTGTGACATTGTTGTTCGAAGTCTGGTTTTCACTAATTTTAATTTAGAAAATGTTTTTTTCTGTAGATGCACTGGTTACTAGAAGAGTTAATGCTATAAGTAGACTGGTATTTAATGTTGGAAAAATACCAGATAACCGACTATCCAGAAATAATTTGAATACTGTCTTCATATTATCCATGTTATATGGATTTAATACTTTTCTTTTATTGAAGTCGACTATTTCATCAAGAGTTTCATCATATTCATCCTCCGTATTTGAGGTAGAAAAAGTTCAGCTGCTTTATGTAGATTTGTTGGTAGTAATTTAGAGTTTTCTAACTTATCATATATTAGACAGAAATGAAGATATTCGTTTATTAATAAATCACGATCTGTATGATCTGTACGAAATGTATGATATTCAGCACATCATTTTTCAAATGAGTCTTCTGGAAATGAACTGCGATTATTTTTTATTTCAATTATTCTCCTCTTTGAAAACAAGGACAAATCTTTTGTATATTCCAATAACATCATTATTAAAATACTGATTAATGGTATTTAATGTAATATCTAGTGAACCCAAAAATATGTCAACTTTGAATAGCTTAGTGGAATCTAATATTGGCTCATCACTTGCTTTTTGTCCAGATAATTATTTTTCCGATGAATGCTTTTTGTTTTCATATCTTCAAATTCAAATGATTCATTTTCATTTATATTAACTTCATAAATTAAGCTTTCAAATAATAGACCAAATTCATTGTTTCGAGCATTTGTAATGTGTTTATGGCTCACAAATAACACTGAAATCTGCTAAAAGATCTAAATCTTTAATCTGTAAAATTGTATTTAAAGGTGCTAAATATTAAAAAGTTTTTTGATTTGTGGTTGAGTATTTTTTTTGAGCAGCTTCATAGTATGCAACTCTCTTTTTACTTCCATTAATAAAATTGTATAATGCTTTTAAATTGCCAAAAAGGTCAACTGCATTAAAGTTACAACCTATAGTTTTTATTAGGATTAAATTAAGTCTGTGGGCACAACACCATATAAAAGTTGCTGTTGGATGTTTATCATTTATTCGAAATTGTAAATCTTTATATTCACCTCTCATGTTTTGCACTCCATTGAAGGACTGTCCAACTAAATAATTTAACCAGCCAAGGCCTAACTCATTACATATAGCTTCAAAAATATTGAACATATTTAATTCTGTAGTATTAGGAGAGTCTTTCAATGCAACTAGACGTTCATTAATATTTCCATCTACAGCTACATATCGAATTATAAATGAAATTTATTCTTTTCTTGACAAATCGAAGGTAGAATCCCTTGACACACTAAAAAATTTATCTTCTTTTAGTTCTTTAATTTTAAAACTTTTAATAGTAGTAGAAATAGAGTGAATAAGTTGATTTTGTTTTAACTTTGATGTAAAATTTACTTTAGGTTTTTTAAAGTTTCAAGTTTTGTTATATAAGTGGCAAGTGGATGAGAATATTTTGCAATAATTATTGTAAGATTAAAAAAGATACTACAATTCCCAGTGTAAGAAAAATTTACATGGTGACCCCGAAATGCAATGCAATTTTTTGCTAAAAATAAAGTTATGTCAATTAAACTTCTTACCACTTCTCGGTTCAATGCTTTCTCTTGCTGTTGTTTTTCCACTAACAGTGGAATTACGGATAAAGAAGTTTGGTATAGTTTATACTTTAATGATGCTTCTACATGTGATTCAGAACATTCATGTTTTACAATACTATGTAATGCTCTAATCCACACAGAAAAAATATTCTTTGTCCATGCTTTTAATTGATTTTTTTTCCAAAAAGTATGCAGTGATGACAGTACAAATTGTTGTTTGATATTTAATAGCTAAGCCAGTCTCTTAGAACAAAACAATTTCCCGGTAGTTGTTTCCAAAACTAAACTGTTTGGAAGCTACGATTATACTTATCCCTAGGAAATTGTTTTTGAGATAAATCTTGAACTGCACGTTGCATTGGACCATTTTTAACTAAGAATTAAATCATTGCCGGAGAGAAACTATAAAGCATAAAAAATGTAGCTGAATCATTAGAAAGTTTTGATTTTTCTTCAGTTTCCTCTTTTTCAATGTTTGTGCCTATAATATGTAAAGTTATCTAAAATTAAATTTTTTTAACTAAAATAATTGTATAGTCATTAATGATTAATTAATTTACTAATTTATCTTTCACTACTAACATAAAGTCATGCAAATCAAAGTTTTAACTGGAATATAAAAAAAACCGTAACAATTAGTACAAATATATAATCAATAACTTAATTGTGCATAATACTGAATTGTATTGTTAAAAATAACATTAAGATACATCTCTAAATGATTCATTATACTACCAAAGTATATAGTTTTACAAGCCAGTAGATACAGAAGTTATTTGATCTAGATTAAACATTTAAATAATATTAATATTAATAAATAAATAGTTAAAAATACTATTACTATTTCTTAAATACTTTAAATTATATAAAAATTATTAGACCAAAAAACTTAACATCAAAAATAAACAAAATACACAACATTAATGTTAATATTGGACAATATTAAACCTTGGTTTTGTACTATGATCATAAAATAATCTATTAAAATAATTAAAAATGTGATGACATGTTTAGTTTACTTTAAAACTTTGCCTCCGTAAACGTAAAAATAATTAATACTTATCAAGTAAAAAGTATTAAAAGTATCTGATGGTTTTCATTTGTGTTCTAAACGATTAAATTTCAACATCATGATACATCAACAATAATCATGTTTTTACTTTTTCGATTTGCAGTTCACATCGTTGTAAAAGAAACTCTATAAGCGATGAATAACAAATACGTAAACATTTTAGACACGATAAATTGGTAAAAACCATGAGTCATGAGTGTATTAATAACCGACAGAAGACTGAAAGACAATCTTCATGACCATTTTATATGTTGTCTGTTCATAATAGACAAACAATAATTAGTACCAAACTGGCACAACACTACCACAGAATAGAATATTAAAACAATGTTTTCTGTGGACTTTTATTAAATATAACTTAACCGTATTAACCTTACTGTATAAGTAGGTATAATCAATGAAATAATGACTAATACAATAAACTGGTCATGATGTGTAAAGTTGTACCACTTGCAGTTTGTACCCATTACCTTACAACTCCCAAGCCTAGATCTAAGAGGACACCCTACCCTATTTAAAGGTGTTGCTTGAGCAACACCTTGAGCCACTGAATAGTACGAGTAGTATAAATGTATAGTAGTGTTAATGATCTTTCTGCAATACATCGATATTATATTTCTAATTATTTAAGTATTTTTTAATACTATAAGCACTTGATATTGAACTCGAAAAAATACTATAAAACTATTAAAGTTACATTTTTCTTAATATTCATACAATACAGTTATTAAACGCATAACTTTAAGTAAATATGTTAGTATATTTATTTATTGTATTATGTATTATTATCAGACATTAAATGGATAGGTAGTAACATATTTAGAAGATAAGTATACATGAGCGGCAGATGTTACACGCTATTACTAAACATTACACGATGCATCTAAATATTACTCTAAACTGAAATTATTGTTAGAATAACTATTTATATTCATTGTGTAACTAATATTTTTGCGACAGTGATGATCGTACAAAATATTATTCGAAATAAAAAAATCATGGCAGTAAATACATTTTTTTTGTTTTCTATGTCGAGTAATAT